AAGTCTTTAGTTTGATTAAGAACCTGCCCATGGAGGCAAGGGGATAATCCCGAGGAACATGCCCACCACCTGTTAGGGGGTGGTATATAGTACACAGTTTGATTTATAGTTGTCTCAGTGTGGCTGCAGAGGTGTTTGTGAGTTTGTGGAATCTGTCCTATGCAGGTCCCTGTCCCTGTGACAGAAGTAAGGTAAGTTGTCCAGGTTTCTTATGAATCCATCTACAGGTTTTGTGAGTTTCTGACTGGTTGAATTTTCCTATAAATGCAATACCTTCATAATAGGGGGGTTTGATATCGTAACACAGCCAGCAGGATTCTGTCAAATTAGATTAGGTTAGATTCAATAGTTGGAAAGTCTGGACCATAATTTTCCAAAGGGGGTCTTCCTGTAAATTTCGGACTGATGTGGTGTCCCTTGAAGGGGTGACGTGGGGAGACGAATTTCGAACTAATGTGTTGCCCCGATTATTGGAGGGTAAAGAGGGTACTGATTGTGGGGCTAACACTGAGTAGGGCCCGATTGCAACAGGGGGTGTCCAGGATTCAATTCTTAGTCTAATATTGAAAACGACTCCATTGTCGTACCCTGTTTGGTACAATCGAAGCCCCCAGGATCGGCCTGTCACCCAGGTTTTATACTGTTTTCCCTCCTCTGTAAATCGGATTCTGATAGGATTACAGGTGAAATTCATACACGGGCCCTTTCATATATACATGCTTCCACTGGCTGGGAACCTCCACATGAACTTGGATGATCGGCAAGAACTGACGGTTAATCTGTTACTGAAATGATTCCTGTCAACTGTGATGAGATCCCAAGTTGAAGAAGGTTCCCAGTAAGTGGTTCCCGTCATTTCACATCCCCATGTTTTACAATAAAAGTCTGATGCCCTCCCCCACTGGTTTGCTAAAGTTCTGTCTTTTCTTCCCCCTGGGCAAACGTAAAATGGTAACTTATGGAGTTGGTTGCAGAGTTCGGGGTGCCCACAACCTATTCCCCCGATTCCTCTGGAAGCACAATACCGCTGGCATGTAGGCTTGCCTGAACATTCAGGAGTACCGTTTTTGTTGGGTTCCCAATCTAAGATGTCCCAGGATCCGGCCTCTAATTGGCATAAATTAAAGTGTAGGTCAGGCCACCAGGTATTAGGGGGATGGTTGCCCATGATAGAGCTGACAACGTCCCCTGTGGCTGACGTAATTATCCAGGTTAACTGTTGGGGTGTGTGTGGGTTAGATGAAGGATTTACATAGTTATCAGTTATTAACAGTAATACTAGTAAGGTCCACATTGCTGAAGTTTTAGTTTGAGCGGATTGTTGGGGTCCTTGGAGATGTGCCATGGTGGGTCCTGGTCAGGGACAGGATCGGCTTTGCAGGCATGGGTATGATGAATCCAGGAGGTTATTCCATCAACTTTGAGGGTGGTGGGTGTGGTCAGGATCACGATGTAGGGTCCTTTCCAGCGAGGTTGTAGAGTCTCTTGTTGATGTCTCCGCACATACACCCAATCACCTGGCTGGTACCGGTGAGGTTCGGGAGGGGGATTAGATTGGTAGAGGGCCCTTAAGTTCGGCCAGATGTCCTGTTGGGTTTGTTGCAGGGCTTGAAGAGAATAAATGAGTTCACAATTATCAATTTCACGTAATAAATCAGACTGGAATCTGGGAGTAATAGGTGGAGGTCTGCCAAAGACAATCTCAAAAGGTGTTAATCCTAATTTATAAGGAGAGTTACGGACCTGAAATAGGGCAAAGGGGAGGAGAGTCACCCAGTCTCTGTCAGTCTCTATGGTTAATTTGGTTAAGGTCTCTTTTAGAGTTCTGTTCATTCTTTCTACCTGACCTGAACTTTGGGGTCTGTAAGCACAATGTAATTTCCAATTAGCCCCAAGAATAGTTGCTAAACCCTGTATTACCTTAGACACAAATGCCGGTCCATTATCTGGCCCTATTGTAGTAGGAAAACCATACCTGGGTATGATGTCTTCTAGTAGTTTCTTGGCTACAACGTGGGCCGTTTCTCTCTTGGTGGGGAAGGCTTCCACCCCCCCTGAAAAGGTATCTATAAAGACTAACAAATATTTATATCCATATTTTCCTAGTTTTACCTCCGTGTAGTCCACTTCCCAGCAAGTCCCTGGTGTGTTGCCTCTTGATCTGGAGCCTAGATTTGGAGGGTTTTTTAGTAACATTGGTTAATTGACAGGCCTTACAGTCAGAAACAATTATTTCAATTTTACATTGAGCATTTTTAATTATTACGTCTGCCCATTTTAATAACTCCTGCATCTTTTTGGTTCCTAGATGGGTGGTTTGGTGTATTTTGAATAAAAATTCTTCTCCCAGTTTTTCGGGGAGGATGGCTTTGTGATCTGCTGATTTCCACCAATTGCATACGTACTGAATTCTGGGTAATTGTTTAATCCATTTCAAGTCTTCCTCCGTGTAGTTGGGGTTTGCAGGTAAGGTGGGACTCCCAGGATCAGGTAGGTTGGAAGTTAATACTAGGTTGGTAGACAGTGCAATTTCTCGGACGGTTTGGTCTGCTAGATTGTTGCCTCGAGTAATTGGGGTGGTGATTTTCTGGTGCCCTGGACAATGAATGATGGCAAGTTTCTTTGGGAGCCACAGGGCAGCTAGTAGATCTAGGATCTTGTTTTCGTTTTTAATTGTTTTCCCTTCCGCGGTTAGTAGCCCTCTTTCCCGATAAATTGCCCCATGAATATGTGCCGTGGCAAAAGCATAATGACTGTCCATATAAACATTTAACTTTTTGTCTTTTCCCAAAGTTAGGGCTTTGGTCAATGCTATTAGTTCAGCTCGTTGAGCCGATGTTCTGGCCGGTAACGGTTCAGCCCAAATTATCGCAGTTTCCGTCACTACTGCCACTCCCACATACCTTTGTCCATCACGCACAAAGCTGCTCCCATCCGTATACCAGGTAACCTTGGCATCTGGTAAGGGGGTGTCTCATAGGTCAGCTTGGATCCCGTGCGCTTGAGCTAGAGTGTCGACACAGTCATGGAGTGGAGCACCCAAATCCGGATCCAGTAACAGGGTGGCAGGGTTCAGTGCCGTAGGTGACTGGAAGATAATTTTCGTTGGGTTGTTCAGTAACAGTCCTTGGTAGTGGGTGAGCCGCGCATTGCTGAGCCATCGATCGGGAGGTTGCTTAAGAGTCCCTTCTATGGCACGCGGGGTGGTAATATGTAGTTCTTGCCCCAGTGTAAGTTTGTTCGTGTCTTTCACTAACAAGGCTGTTGCTGCTATTATGCGTAAGTACGGGGGCCACCCCACTGCTACTGGGTCTAATTTTTTTGAGAGATAGGCTACCGGTCTTTTCCAGGGGCCTAGGTGTTGGATTACAACTCCTTTCGCTACCCCTTTATTTTCATCAACGTATAGATGGAAGGGTTTTGTTACATCAGGCAGTCCAAGGGCAGGAGCAGACAGAAGGGCAGTTTTAAGTGAATTAAAGGATTTTTCCATGGCCTCTGTACACTGAAATTTCTGCCCCTCCTTAGTTGCTTCATAGAGAGGTTTTGCTAGTTCTGCAAAACCTGGTATCCAAAGTCTACAGTAGCCGGCTGATCCTAGGAACTCCCGCACTCCACGTGGGGTGCTGGGTCTAGGGATTTTTAGCACAGTCTCTTTGCGGGCCCTAGTCAGCCATCTTTGTCCTTCTTTTAACATGTACCCCAAATAGCTCACCTCGGGCTGGCAAAGTTGAGCCTTTTTGGCTGAGGCTCGGTACCCCATATCTCCTAGTGTTTGGAGTAGGTCTCTGGTTCCTTGGAGGCAGGTCTCGTAGTCTGCTGCAGCAACTAGGAGATCATCTACATATTGTAACAGTGTGGGACTGGGGTGGTCGAATCGGAACTTACCCAGGTCTTCGTGTAATGCTTCATCGAAAATCGTGGGCAAAATTTTGAGCCCCTGAGGTAACCTCGTCCAGGTCAGTTGTCTGCTAATGCCTTCTGTCGGGTCAGTCCATTCAAAGGCAAACAGGTTCTGGCTCTTTGGGGCTAGTGGTAGACTGAAAAAAGCATCTTTAAGGTCTAATACTGAGTACCACTGGTGATCTGGGGGTAAAGAACTAAGGAGGGTGTATGGGTTAGGGACAGTAGGGTGAATATCCATGACTCGTTTATTGACTTCTCAGAGGTCTTGTACTGGTCTATAGTTGTTAGAATGAGGTTTTCGAACAGGGAGTAAGGGGATGTTCCAGGCAGACTGACAGGGTCGGAGTATTCCTAATTTTAATAGGTGCCGGATATGGGGGGTTATGCCCTCCCGGGCTTCTCGTGACATAGGGTACTGGCAGACTCTGACCGGGTCTGCTCCAGGTTTAATTTCTACATAAACTGTTGGCCTATGTTTAGCTAACCCTACACCTCCAGTCTCAGCCCACGCCTTAGGAAAGGCTAATAACCATTGTTCTGTATTCTCGGATGGAGAAGGAGGGGGTTGTTGGTGGAGCCTATATTCATCTTCCAGGTTTACAGTTAACACGTGAATAGGCTGGCCCTTACTGTCCATAATGGTTGCCCCTCCGTTTTGAAAGTGGATTTGTGCTCCTATTTTGGTTAGTATATCTCTCCCGAGAAGTAGATAAGGGCATTCTGGAATTACCATGAACGAGTGGGATACCCGTCCCACGCTGAGATCTACTGTTCTTCGGGTAGTCCATGAATTGATTTGTTCCTGTGGCTCCTTGAACCCAGGAGGTTTTATTAGACAGTTTCCCTTGAGGTTTAAGTAAGACTGAATGTTGTGCCCCGGTATCCACCAGGAAGTCAGTTGGGGTCCCCTCCACTTTAAGAGTTACCCTGGGTTTGGGGAGGGCGACTGAACCACGTTGCCCCTAATCACTGAGTTCTCCTAATTCTAGTTTTAGTCGGCGGTTTTTGAGTTTTTTTATTTGGGCATTCTTTTGCCCAATGTCCGTCTTCTTTGCAATAGGCACACTGATTTTTGCCCAGTTTAGGGCGTCCTCTCCTGGGGGGGGTCCCCCTTACCTCGGTATTTTGTGATTTTCTGTAGTTGCTGTTCTCTTTCTTGGACGCTCCCGGTTGTTGAGGCAAGTAAGATTTTTGCAAGGTTCTGAGTGTTCAGATCACTGGCCGCCACTAGTGCTTTGGCCTGTTGGTCCTCTGGACTTTCTCTGTGATTATAAACTCTCTCTGCAACTAACATTAAGTCCTGAACACTTTTTTCATTTAATCTGTCAATTTTTTGTAACTTTCTCATAATGTCTGGGGCTGCTTGATTCACAAAAGCCATGATCAGTGCAGCCCTAGTTTCAGGTGCTTCTGGATTCATGGGGGTATATTGACGAAATGCTTCCATTAATCTTTCTAAGAAAGCGGCAGGACTTTCATCCCTCCCTTGCTGTACGTCACCTACCTTAGCCAAATTGGTGGGCTTCCTTGTGGCTGCCTTGAGACCTCCCATTAGAGTCTGACGGTACACCCGGAGTCTCTCCTTACCTTCAGTCGTGTTGTAGTCCCAATTAGGACGAGTCAAAGGGAAGGTAGCATTAATTACATCTGTATTAGTAGTGGGCTGCCTGTTATCCCCCAAGACAGATTTCTGGGTTTCCATCTGGATCCTCTCACGTTCCTCGGTAGTGAATAAAATTTGGAGGAGCTGTTGACAGTCGTCCCAGGTAGGCTGATGAGTAAACAAAATAGTTTCTAGGAGGTCAGTTAAATCTCTGGGATCATCTGAGAACTTGGCATTTTGAGTTTTCCAATTGTACAGGTCACCAGTGGCAAAAGGCCAATAGTGAAGCTGCTGGTTGCCGGTTGCGTCTGAGGTCCTGCGGCTCACAACAGCAAGACCATGGAATCTGCTGGTCCACTAGAGGGGGCTGCGCGCTGCATTCTTCCATGGGTGCCGGCTGCCGGACCTGTGGCTGCCATTGTCCCACCGCTGTCCGGCACTTGGGGCGGTGCACCCTCTCCAGCTGCAGTACCTGCTGAAAGGGTTTGGTAAGGGGCGGGGGAAAAGGAATTCTTCCTCCATCCCACCCTGAAAGACTGGGTAGGTCGGTGCTGAAGGTTTGACTTCAGGTTCTTTCTTCCGGGCAGTATAAGGTTTCACTGCCAGGACCGGTTTAGGTGCCTGCTTAGGAAGAGAAAGAAGTAACAATGGCTTTAACCAGGGAGGTGGATTTTCCACTAAATCCTGCCATGTGATAATATATGGCCCCTGATCTGGGTGTCCCCCGCTGGACCGGAACACAACTTCTTTCACCTTTGAAATAATCTGAAGATCAAATGTACCTTCAGCTGGCCACCCCACATTGAACGTTGGCCATTCCAAGTTACACAATGTGACAAATTTTCCTTTTTTTATTTCTAAACTTAAGTCGTGTGCTCTTTGTCTAACTTCCTTAAAATTATCAGTCAGGAGAGAAAGAGGAGTCGTCACAGTTTGTCCCATTTCGTCTGTCCACTGATTGAACAAAATTAAGGACACTAACAAGAACCAAACAGACACACAAAAAGACAAACAGAAAATGCCTCCCGTGGATTGGAAGCAAAACTGAAAGTAGGATGACGGCCTCACACCGTGCTGCGGGAGCGACCCGCTTTGTCCCTTTACAAGTTCCAGATTGGAGGGGAACTTTGTTTCCTCCCAGGTTGGCGGAGTTTTCTAATCCCCTTCCAGAAGAGGTCCTGGAACGTCTTCCAGGTCCTCTGGCTGACGGCCCACCCGTGTGTCCACTTAAGCCAAAGTCAGCCCTACAGAAAATGGGCCCCAAGTAATACACAAAGGACTCAGACCAACATCAAACATCTGAACACTTACCAGCTGGCTGCAACCCCCTGGTTCAGGAGTCCTGGGGTATCT